TGGTTCTTTATCAGCAACATAAAACTGTTCTCTATCAGCAACATAAAACTGTTCTCTATCAGCAACATAAAACTATTCTATATCAGCAACATAACACTGTTAACACTATTCTACATCATCAACATAACAGAGCAACATGCCACTGTTCTATATCAGCAACATGCCACTGTTCTCTATCAGCAACATAAAACTGTTCTCTATCAGCAACATAAAACTGTTCTCTATCAGCAACATAACAGAGCAACATGGCACTGTTCTATATCAGCAACATAAAACTGTTCTCTATCAGCAACATAACACTGTTCTCTATCAGCAACATAACACTGTTCTATATCAGCAACATAACACTGTTCTATATCAGCAACATAAAACTGTTCTTTATCAGCAACAAAAAACTGTTTTCTATCAGAAACATAACACTGTTCTATATCAGCAACATAAAACTGTTCTATATCAGCAACATAACACTGTTCTATATCAGCAAAATAAAACTGTTCTCTATCAGCAACATAAAACTGTTCTCTATCAGCAACATAAAACTGTTCTCTATCAGCAACATAAAACTATTCTATATCAGCAACATAACACTGTTAACACTATTCTACATCATCAACATAACACTGTTCTATATCAGCAAAAAAACACTGTTCTATATAACCAACATAACACTGTTAACACTGTTCTATATCAGCAACATAACTCTTTCATTATCAGCAATATAACACTGTTCTATATCAGAAATATAACACTGTTCTTATTCAGAAACATAACACTGTTCTATCTGCAACATAATTAACAGAAAAATACTGTTTGTAAATCCCCCGCCCCTCTTTTTAATATATTTATATAATATAGGTAATGATATGGTTATTATTAATAATGATGCTATTACGGTGTTAATAGAAAATATGATACGACACGATTATGAATATCAAAGTTTATATCCAATTTAAATATATTTTTTAACAAGCAGGCATTGGCATCATTTGCTATATTCGTGACATTTTATGTGATATTTGTACAAAACAACTCCGGTTACAGGGCAGTGCTTATTTTTAGTTAGGTAAACGTACAAGGTTGTTGGAGTAAAAAAATCAGATTCCACTTGTCTAATGAATTACTTCATAATATTGTGCTGCTATCTAGATATTTTCTTCAGACCCTATTTGTTTCTTAATATGTTGCCTCTAAAATTGTTCGTCTTAATAGCACACCCCGGAAAATTGTTAAGTCGATTCTGAACATATTACTGTTGCTTTTCGTGGAACTGATAAACAGTTATATATCCGACACCGTGGATAAAGAAGGAAATGCCCGCGGGACATCAATAGACGGATGCGCTTAAAATAGGCGATAAGCTAGAAATAGACGGGCTCGATAAAAAATGGTCATCAGTCAGCCTTTTTTTCAAAATTTCTCAGCAGTATTTCTTCTTTCAGTTCTTGAGAGAATATCACCCTCCATTTGTAATTCTTGTTTTTAGCTACTTTCATTAGCACAATAACACCATGTTGTTCATTCGAAACTAGTCAAGATTTTTCTGAATGTCTCTGCAGATTATACAAAGACACACTTCACCAAATACGTGGGTGGTAGGAAGCGGCAACAGTAGATTCAGTTCCACTTCTATATTGGGAAACTCTGGTTCCTTACGACAAACCCCAAATGACCATGGGTGAGAAATACAGCTTCATATTTTTGGTAATGGATAATCCGGGAAAGATCAATGCCAAGAAGTGTGGCCAGAAAGGATCCTTAATTATGAACCTACGTAAAATATATCTGTTTGTTTGTTTCTTTCTTTGGTTTGGAATACCATTTTTACTGGGAGACATACCACTTATCCTAGAGATAACCAGTTATAAGCATTTATCCGATGCTATATGATACTTACCGAGGACACCCGAAAGGACACTGACATTACTTATGACTAATCTACTGCTACAACAACACATATCCTAGACATGGAAATGGTTTTTATATTGCAGATTAAGAAATATTCCACTTCCTGCATTATTTGGTTTATCTTCACATTTTATTACGATATAGAGTCTAGTACGTGACTAGTTTCACTCAATGGCATCTTCCATCATGTGTTTGTCAATATGACGGTCTGATGAATGGATACGTAAATTTGGTTGTCAATGGTTAATAATAATAATAACTTTATTTTTAGCAAGTGGGGCCCGTGGACTAAAGTGCTTTGGGTCCCCCCGCCCCCACCCCCTGGAATTTCTTTTAACATCTGCTCTACTGCATTCTGAGACTCCTCTGTAAGTCAATTTAATGCTTGTTTATGATCTGTTGGACTGTCGGAGGATTAAGGCATCGGTACTATGCTGCCCACTACAGTAACGATACTAACTTAAGTACATTTTTAAAATTTTGAATTTTTTATCTATTTTTACTGAGTGTGAAAGCCTCCTTAGGGATGTGGTTTCGCATACTTGGTTCATGGTGACACAATTCTAATTTTCAATAAGTAAATTAAAAATAGATTTAGATTAAACTTTTTTGTTTTGTGGTAAGTTTGAAATCTAACAAGAATACTACAGTTCCGTTTTTATGACTTGACTAGTTTCAATCCAAGGAATCTTCCGTCAAGTGTTCGTCATAAGGATGGTATGATGAATGGATACGTAAAGTTGTCAATTGGTTAATTGTTATCTAGTGGGGAACACATACACCATTCGACTATTCACTGGATCAAAGATCAGCGGAATAAGAAGGACACATTGGTCCTTGAACTATTCAACTATTAACTATACAACTATACATGACAGGGGATGATTCATGATAATACGAGTCTGGAAGAACAAAGAAGGATTCTGTAGAACTGACATAATGAGATACAGGGCAGGCCATAATTGATGTTGGTCTCGTGAAAGAAGGAAGTATCTCTTAAAGTACAATTTGAGAGGACGTCCAGAATTTAACAGTGGATTCAATGGCAATGACAACTAAAATTTGATTGAATGAAAGCAATGTTAAAACTGACAAAATACAGAAGCCTATACTCAATACAAGACAGCATTTTTCAGTCCACCAACAATCAAATTGCTATCAATTTAAACTTTAAAGATATGTATTTGCCCCTGCCCTTTGTTATCCATGTTACTTTCCTCTAAAGGCATGATTTTGAGTATTCGCCAATACTCGCACCTATGATAGCTTCTAATTGAAAATCTAATATGTGACGCTCATATGATATCCACCACCAAACGCAAGAAAACGCGAAAAGGCAAGGAAGACAACTTACGTTCACGAGGAATTTCTGATCATATCTCGTGGCATTGATCTTTCCAAGATTAGCAAGAACGGAATATTTAGGAAATATGACTTATTCAAGTTCAAACTTTTACACGCCGTAAGGACCAACGACCACCATTTGTTCGACTTAACCAAGCAAATTACACCATCTTTAGATCTATTTTAAAAATCAGACTAACTCTTTTACCCCTGGGACCATATTTACGTTTGGGGTAATAAAAGTTCACCAAGGTTGATATCAGACACCTTCAGGGTAGAATTGTTTTTCTACTCATTACGTCAAAGATTCTTAATATAAGATCGCGAGCTAAATAAAGTTATGCTATATTTTGATATGGGTTAAATTCACTGTTACTCTGATGTAATTTATTACCTAGAGGTAGATCAGGTAATTATAAAGGCTATGTACATCCATAAATAATAAGAGCTGCCAATTTATTACCGGTGTTCTTGCACAATGTGTATCACCCGAGCGTCATCAAGCTTTTTATTCTAAAATAAAGAACAGACCAAGACAGGGCAATGTGCTAAGATTCGGAAAGAAGATGAATTTTTGAGTGTAAGGATTTATTTTACCGTATCTGGAAAGATAGTCGATAGGACCTACCTCTGCTTAGAATACTATACTATACTATACAAAGTTCTTCAATCTCAAACTTATTCAGATAGCAATCCCGACCCATTGATGCAGGTCAGAGGGTTAGTATGTAAAATGCCTCTTGTCGTTTGGTTAGGGCAAACAGACGGAGGTGCTCCTTCAAGACACCTCGGTAAAAGTTAATCAAGAAGGGTGAAATGAAATCTAATTATCATTAGATAACTATTTCGTTTAATTCCGTGATATGTCGCTTCCATGGCAAAGTCTCTCTCTTCATGAACCATAGCCTATTAGGTGCAAAAGAGTATGACTTAAAACACTCTTTTCCATTTCCTTTTATTTCAGATTTCCTAATAGAATGCTAACAATGTTGGTTCCATCGCGTCTAATCTATAAGGACAAAATATTCGATTTGTCAAATGGGAGTTCAAAGCAAAGACGGTTTCGTGACTATTATTCATTTATAAAAAATAACATAACAATGATTTTGGCATGAGTCGGAATGATATTGAATATTGGAATTTTAACACCACGATGTTCCGGGAATATTTTTCTGATGTAATGAGGAACCAAAGTTTTAAAATTCCTGTAATAGGTCAGACATTCACAAGAGAGAACTTCTGAGAATTTGTCAGAAACAACGCATTTTGCGTTATTATGGAATTCAATAACAAGAATTCTCCATTGGTTGGATCTTATATAAGTTCCTACATCAGCCAATCAGATCTCAAGCAATTATTTAAATATGTGTGATGTTTTTGACAACAAGTCCCATGGTCTTAAACGATGAAAATTAAAGAAAAATATAAAGCTGGAAAGAATAAGTCTCCATAGATTATGTTAAGCTGAATCTACCTCCGTAATGAATCAAATTTATTTTGATGTTTACTACTGATTTATCACTTGATGGTAATATTGCGACGTGAATATACCCCAATGGCTTAATAGCTACTGGATAATATTTCTGACACTTGCTTATATCTTACGAAGGATTTGTTTTTCGTCGGTTTTTTTAGTTCCGAACTACCAGGATCATCTGATTACGCAACAATCTGTATTCTAACTAGGTCCTAACTGGCACGGTTGCAGACTGCATGGCGTGACCAGTTCTATAGCCAAGCCAGGATCAAAAAAGTATGCTGTGCAACTGTACTCTATATTTCTATAGGATAATATGGTTTCCAGTTGCTTTAAGCAAGTATTAACCTTCACCTTCGTACTGTGTGAGCATGCAATATCAAAATTGTAACAAGTCTCAGGGGAAGTCCTCTGGCAGTATGACCATTAGTTAAAAATAAGTAACATGTACATTAAGGCAATTCTTGTTATTTCTGTATAATATATTTATCGGCTATGTCTGTACAATTACGCATGCTTCCAGACACTTTCTTTACATATATTTTTACCTTTGTTTATTTATATGACAATTTATCTAGGGATTCACAGGTCTTGGTTTACAGGTTTTATGGCGCTTTATATACAGAGGACATATCTACAGCTTCTCTGTAAAGATACCAAACAAACAATATTACTTTCTTGGCTTTGATGATGTTCTTCATTTGGGATGCTACTGTACAATGTTTAAGAGATCTCAAAACAAGGCCAATAACATTCTGTCCTATTCATAAAAATAAGGAATTGAATAGAAGAGGTATAAATCTTTCAGCGAGAATTCTATCCTGCCACGGTCCAGTATATTATTTTATGTAAGATCAAAACCTATGTCCAAGTTTGCTTAAATCGATAGAATTTGGACAGTTCCTTTATGATAATGAATGTATTCCCTTTTACTTCCCTTTAATTTAGCGGTTCCATTTGGTATGATTGATAGACACCAACATTTTGTATGTTTGATAGACAGCATCTTTAAGGTATGTTTTGTAGAC